AATATATTATTTTTCTTAGCTATATCTTAACGGTTTTTTACAATAAATGCTATCAAAATATGATTTAAGTACAAAATAAACAAGAACTTTTTAAAATAAAAAAAAAAATAATTTTTGTATTGGTATGTACGGCATGCGATTATACAAAAACGGTATTGTACAAGGTAGTGGCATGCCAGGGTGGCACCCTGACATGAATTTTAGAAATGGCATGCCACATGGCATGCCAAATAAATTTGTGCGTACCAGGTTCCCTAAGTAAGTAACTGTAGTGACCTTGGCTCACAAGTATTTGTTTTCAGACTCAGCATAAGTTACTGAAAAAGACTAGGTAATACAATAACAGTAAGTACTGAACTGCTCTAACAGGTAATATACTTAAGGATGAATCAGTTAACCATGCCAGTAGTTTTATAGGTAGACACAGGATGATCTTGGAACTTGGACTGACTTATGTATTGCATGTTCCAGGTGAGATTAAATGGATTGGCAGGAAAACTCAAATCAGAGAATTTAGTTGGGTAACTCAAGTAATAGTGTGTTATAAATATGGCATCTAGTGTAGAACCTAGTAATAGGTAGATACTTAATTAGGTGCTCAAAAGGCGCAGGTATAACTAGAATATACCCTCGTCAGAATGTACTTGTCTGGGGCCCCCTTGAAAAGGGCACCACATGATTCTATAATCTAATAAAAGCAGGAAGCCAAAGAGGCTAACCTTGACTACAAAAAAAAAAAATAATAATAAAAACATATAATAGGTGCAAAACCACCATAGGTGCATTTATAATAATTGTTATTATTTTAACACTTAGAAACTCGATTATGAAACCGGTTTGCCTTAAAACTGCTTGAAAGCAATTACTCGTTTCAAGTATGATTTGACTTGTTACTCGAATAAAATACTTATTAGAAAAATTATTTTTAACAAGTTATATTTATGGACTAGAGAAACCACCGTTTGACACTTTCTTTCAAATAGGACTTTTTAAATCCATTCCCATAAAATATATCTAGCTCTAGCTAACCCTAGTCTGAAGCGGCCTAACCCTAAAGTTAATTCAGTACTCCGCTTTAGGCGTTTCCTGGACCGGAAACCTTTGTTACACAAAATCTCGAATTTTTATTTACATAATGACGTAAATCGTGATTTTATTGTTAATCAAAACATCTCACTTTTGTTAATCAAAACATCTCACTTAACATCTCACTTAACATTTTACAGTTGCCGGCATTTTTTCAACTTTACCTCAAACGATTTTAAAAAATGGAAATGGATGATTTTGAAAAATTGGAAAAAGTTGGAGAAGGTATTATAATGTTACAAAATAATGATTACAACCATTCAGCGTGAACTCTATTATTAACACGTTTTTTAAATAAAAATTTATTTCTTTTTAAAGGAACATACGGCATAGTTTATAGGGCTAAGGACAAAAAAACCGGAAGAATTGTGGCTCTTAAGCAGGTGCGCCTAGATTTACCCGTTGGAGAACAAGAAGGAATTCCACCTACTTCACTTCGAGAAATTTCATTGCTTAAAGAATGTTCAAAAAATGAAAATATTGTAAAGTATGTTGGAATTATGTTTAATTTTGAAATCCAAAACTGCTATAAAAAGTTTATCCGCACCCAAATCCCAAACTCTGGTCAAACTAATATCTCGAATTCCATCAATAATCATTATTTAAGCAAGCAGTAATATTGTTATATACAATATATTTAGAGTTTGGGATTTGATCGCAAGTATTGTTGAAATATAGAAACACGTAAAACTGCAACGCATCTAAATATTTCATATTATTCGAATAGACTTCTTGATATCATAAATCAAGAGAAGAAATTGTTTCTTGTTTTTGAGTTTCTTACAATGGATTTGAAGAGATATATTCAGACATTTAAAGAGGGACTAGAATTAAGTAAAATTCAGGTATTTTTGTCATTCCATCTTTCGTGTTTAAAGGCTATTTCATGTAAGCGTTTCAATATAATTAAATTCGTTCTTTTAAAATTGAATAGAAACTTATGTACCAACTTCTTGACGGAACTACATTTTTACATAGACGGCGAATTTTTCACCGAGACTTAAAACCACAAAATCTATTAATTGACAAAGATGAAAACCTTAAATTAGCTGATTTTGGATTGGCGAGAGCCGTTGGCATTCCTCTGAAGCCTTACACGCATGGGGTATCATTGTCTCAAAGCTTTGTATCTAAGTTGATAATTTTTGTTCTTTTTATACATTAGTGTATATTTATTTTAGGTAATCACTTTATGGTATAAAGCCCCTGAACTTATGCTCGGTAGTCCAACATATACTTTTGCTGTTGACATTTGGAGTATCGGGTGTATCTTTGCTGAAATTGCTAATAGAGAAGTTTTGTTCAAGGGTAAGATTTGGATAAAAAAATTACAACCTGCTTGCTAAAATAAGCTTTATGATTATTATAATTTATGATATGATTGTTATTAATAGGTGAAAGTGAAATTGATGAACTTTTCCTGATTTTCCAGTAAGTATTTTTTTTTTTTCACTTTAATGTAAACACCCAAATTTACCATCTGTTAAATCAATATAAGGGTTCTCGGAACTCCGGATGAGAATGTTTGGCCTGGTATATCACAATTTAGAGATTTCACACCTGTATTTCCAAAATGGAAACCACAGCCTCTTAATCAATACGTTCCTACATTGAATTCTCTTGGCGTCGATCTGCTTAGTGTAAGTTAAACTGCTTTCAAAGGTATTCATAATTCAAATTTATGGACTTCACATTATTCATTTTATATGGCGCGATGTGCCAACAGAAAATGTTGACGTACGACGACTCGCTACGCATCTCAGCTAAACGTGCTTTACTGCATCCCTTTTTTAATGAAATTCTAACTCCACACATGCCACTATGTAACACCTTTATAAATTATTCAAAATAATAAATTATTAGTCATAGGATGGTTGCTGTTACTATAGATCAAATGAGTTGACGTACTAAATTTTATATACAAAAAAATCAATAAAATTTTATTTATTAAAAAAAATACAGTCGACCTCCCCTAAATGCATACCGTTGGGACCAACTTCGGAGTATGCAATTAGGGAGAGTTGCATTTAAAGAAATAACCAATAGCATTACAAGTATATAAATCACGTGTTCAGATTATTAGCCAATAATATTTTAACTTTTGGTTAATCTACTTCGTCAATTTCTCTTTATTTTGTAATATGCTAAAGCGAATCTTATTGAACAAGTTTTTTTTTTGACAAGCATTTATAAAAAAAGAATTTTTTGAATCTAAAAGTTTTATCAACATTTAATAGTTTTGACCAAATAATTATTTAGATTTTGTTTTTAGTTTTGGTTTACAGTCAAACCTGTTTAAATGAATACTGTATAAATGAATATTCTGTATAAATGAATAAATGAATACAAAATCTCAGAACCAAGTTGGTTAGAGTATAGACATTTATCACCTGATTTTTTAGGGAGGAATGGGGTCAGAGAGGTTATCAATCAAAATTGTCTAATTTAACTATATAAAATTTTTAATAATAATAATTAAAAATATAAAAATTATATTAAAATAAAAGTAAATTTTGTTTAATTGCAAAAAGTTTTATTATATAAATCAATTATGTGTATTAAATAAATTTTGTTCAGAAGACCAAAATGCATATACTTTACAAATTTTATATAAATCAGATAACTTTTTATTAATTAATTTTTGCTTTTTACATTTAATAAATAGAAATTTTAAGAAATTTTTAAATTTTTTATCAAACATAATATGCAAAAATGAATTAAT